AATATTTGATACCCACTAATATTCTTCACACCCTCACTCTCATCAATAGCACTATCCACACCTTCACCCCAACCTCACGTCCATATCGACACTCACACCAACGACCACAGCAACAATAACATCTTCTCGCCACACGTCCACATCCACTTTCACACCCATACCGACACGCACAACGTCATTTAAACGCCACACCTCAATCTCGACCTACACTAATACGCACACTCCACACGAATATCTTCATTAGAAAACTACCCACAAGAAAAATTTTATAAATTGTAATAGAAGGGCATGGATTTTCCAAACGCTACTTCCAGAAATCCAATGGATTTTTAAGGCTCTAGGACTTAAGAATCTTGTTTTTGAGTAAAAATCAAGATTTTGTTATTAAAATTCCTTCTTTTCCTAGCAAAAAAAAAATGGCTTTTCTGGTACTTGACTTCTAAAAATACTATGTAAAATGCTACAAAACTTTTTCAAAAACTCTCGATTTTATTTGTAAAGCCTTTATTATTGCCTTCCAATCCTTGCGGTTCGAAAAGAGCTTGATGTTAGTAATGCATATTGTCCGGAGAAAAAGAAAATTGAGTAATCTTTTTTTGTTTTTTTTTCTAGTTGTAAACAAAAACTTTTGGTTTTTTCAGGTAAATGCTAGCGAAAAGTCAGCCCGCAGTAGAGAGTCATCTTTGGAGCAGTGATGTGAATTTCCATAATAGAAGACCGTTGCCTTTTATTCTGGAGGGAGAGGGTTGAAAGGGGATGTTAGCTGCGTGAATATGTTAGTGATCGGCTGAGTTCGACCGATTCGAAGGAAAAATGACTTCGATGGTATCTTCATGACAATAATTCTTAGAAAACGGTTATAATAAATTAGTCGAGAAGGGAAAAGGAAACCGAAGAGTATCATCGTTTTGCTGATTCTGACATATTAATACAATACTTTTATTGAAGCTTTTCTTCGTTTTATGTGAAAAGATGCTCATGTATCGAATGCTCTAGTTACGAGAATGCGACAAGTTATGAGCGAATGTGTTTGCATTCATCCATACACATTATAGATAATTGCTTTATTATGACGAAGGTCCCATTTGTGATCAAGGTGATCGATGCGCGTTGCAAAGGTTTTCTATCAACTAGAATGATGCTTCGAAAGAATCATTTTAGGTGTGAATGAAATTCGCCGAAATGTCTCATTGTCATGTGAAAAATGAGCGAGAGCTATAATGCAATGCCTGTTTTTAGTTTGATGTCACTGCTTAATAGAGAGTCCATCATCTACCCTTTTATCAGAGTATTTATTAATAAACAAAAAGACGAATTGTGCTACCCTTTTTTTTTAGATTCTCTCCTATGGAAGAGTCCAGTCCTATGCCTCAATCGGCGAAGATTGCGCTCGGTATTGGATGTTTTTTCTCCGCTCTTCTTGTTGTCTGTTTTTCAGGCGGTGGTCCACTCTATATCCAAGAGCATTATAAAGTGTTATCCTATGTTGAAGATTCCTGTCGCGTTAAATCGGCAAGCTACGAGGCTTTGACATGTCTCGAAGATTCCGTGCGTAGTACGAAGCGTGAAAAGTGTTATGTACCAATCTGGCAAGTTGAATTCGGTCAAAATGGAACACGCAAAGGAACAATACGGGGAAATGCAGAAGGGTCTTACAAGAGCGTGCTAAAGAAATCTGATCAATATCGGGTATGTAGTATCTGATGATACTTGTTTATAGAGTAATGAGAACATTTGAACAAAGCTTTCAATACAATTCCAACAGGATTCAAATGCATATGTGCGTTTTAGTGCGTTTAATAAATTGATCTGCAGGATTAACCATACAGGTAAAGTGTTAGAAAAATGTACAATTACTACTCCTATTATGGCATTTTCACGTCCACTTAAAGGACACGAAAGTAAGCCCTTTTATGTCATTCAGCAAGTGAAAAGAAGATGAACAGCGACTTTTATCCTTATCCGAAGAAAATACCTCAAAACTTTCCTTCACAATTCCTTGGCAGTTTTTCTCTCTAAAAAAGCTGAGTTTAAGTGCCAAAGCTATTAACGCGATCCCTATGAGATTAACATGTGAAATACGATATAGCTGTTGTTGAGCATCACATGAAAATGATTTTATTCAAGCTATTTTGGAAGACATTTCTTCATCATGCTTTGCTTAATCCTCTAGAACTGCAAAAAGGAAATAGTTCATATATTTTAATCAGACATCAATGATATCCGAGCTTTGATCTTATATTAGCAAAGTCAGTCATAGTCTGTAATGGTCTTCGACTGGTGTCTATGACGGTCTGGGAAGAGGGCAGAGATTCAAATTTATGCTCCATAGCTTCAAAACTATTTTTTAGATTGTGTTTCATAAAAGCGTGAAAAAACTGTACAAAAGCGTTTCTAAATATTTTCTTCGTATGAAAGACGCTTTTAATAACCTTTTCACGTACTCAATGACGTGAAAGTAACTTGTTTTCGTGTGCTTTCGGTGGAGATGAAAGCGTGCAAGTACAAACAACGATTCTGCGTTCAAACACGTCTTTTGAAAAGTTTCATTCGCTGGATATTGGATAATAGACTAAGAGTTTCTAGTCTCCAATCTCTGTAGTGTCTGTAGTTCGTTAGGAAAAATCATATCGAAAATTATCTATCAACGTGACTGCTAAACATAAACAATGCAGCACAGTATTTCCTGAATGGTTCAATGCAAAAGTCTTTGACTCGTTCATCGATGAGCGAGATGTTTGCGTCTAGATCGAGTATCACATCAGTAGCTTCTCTCTCAATAGTTAGATCACGATGCCATTCCACCCATCTGGTTCATGGATTCGGTTGTGAGACATGATGAAGCTTCTCCAGTTGTATATGAAGTCGCGTATTATATTAATCATTATCCATCACGAGATTGATGGAGCACCATGCGCCAATGTTTCTCATCACCAACGAGATGCCAGGGACAAAAGCATCACATTTAGAGAAAGAGAGAGAAAGAGAAAAAAAGATTCTTTTAGCTCAAAATTTCAAACCACGTCAAAACCTAGCGATCCTCAAAATGAAAGAATAGCATTGTAATATGTCCGTTATAGTCTGTATGGTAAATCATAGAATGGAAAATAATATTTCATAGTCTCACAAGAAGAATTCTATTCAATAAATTACATATACGTTTGTAGAATACTTGCAGATATTTCGAAAAGTTAGCATGAACAGTAGAAAGGTACGATGTATCCTGATAAAAGAGGAATAATCATATCCTGGATGTAATGAATAGAGGCTGAGTTTCATGATATTCGATTCGATTCGTTTCGTCCCGTTCGAACAGATCCTGTAGAGTGTCAAAATGATCTTGCATATCCAATGTCGTCACAACCCATTTCTGAGCATCAGTCTTGATATCGAAGCTATAGTTCTTCTCTTAACTTATGCTCATCAGAGAAGGGGATGCAGATGACGAAGTGCTAATGTAGTATTGAATGGACTTAGGTCTGCACGCCACCCCAATGGTAATTGGATGAGATCAATAAGTAAGCAACACGATATTAAGAAAAATAGTCGGCCCACAGAATCCATCGTCAATGACTCGATTGATTATGAGCATAAGAGGGAATACACATACATTTTGCTAGCAATCCTGCAATAACTCTGATACGATGTGTTACAAGAGTTTGAGACCTAACCGAAGAGGGATTCACTTTTCTCGCAATATTTTTTAATATTCCTGTTTCATAAGAGTGGATCTCAATGCATATTGAAGAGTTCGAAATTTCTTTTTTTCTCTTGCACTAATCGATCAACGCCATTCGAAGAAATGCCATCTGTGTTCACTGCAAGAAACAGATCTGGTCAAATTTTCGTCGGTTTAAACAAATCACCACATGCACAAAGAGTTTATATTCGGATGCTCCTCTTCGGAAACCTGACTCTCAGAGAACAAAGAAAGCACATGCATATTTGTCGCCAATGACTTAGTTCTTGTCGATGTATCATACGATTATTTGTACGAATTAAAAGGAAAGCTCTAGGAAAGTGAGAAGTTGTTCTGCTTCGAAAATCATTACAAAAATTATGTTAGTTAAAAGAGGATGAAGGAAATTCTCTCACTTATGTCTCATGAATTGGCTAAATGTTTAGTTGCAAGAACATTTATTACATTAGTTTAACAAACTTCGAACCATTCGAACAAATGTTTAATTTGAATGTTTTTGTTTAGATGCATTCTTCGTATCCATGTTGGTACTATACAAAGAAATCGTCTGAATTAACATGGTACAAGCCAGCTACTTCTTATTCTCTCATTTTACTTATAATGGGTGTAACGGCTATTCCATTCGCTATCATTTCATTCGTCGTCTTCTGTCGTCTTCGAGAACGCCCTGACTTGTAGAATGGTTGCATGTCTTGTAGGTTTAGATTGTTCTCATTTTATTGTAATATGTCATCTGACTACCCAATAAGGACATTGCGATATTTTTCTTGCTTAGATCATCATGTTTCGATAACTAGTGGAAAATTGTTTTGTCTTCTTCTGTTTCGCGAAAGTCTTTTCTTCCGCACTGAAAACGATGGTTTTGATCATGTCGATCAACATATTGAATGAAGATCTAGTCTTGAGTGTGGTTTTTGGATGTGAGTATAGTGGTGTGTGTGTGTGTGTATATTTGTGGATATCGATGTAGGTATGTGTCTGGGTCTGAAAGCAGATAATGCAAGGGATAAGTGTGTGGATGTATATGTGTGGGTATGGATGTGATGTGCGGTTGTCAATGGAAGAAAACAAGGGTGTGGGTGTGGATATTCTCTTAACCACACTCACACTCACACCCACACCCACAGCCACACCCTTCACTTGATTTTGAATCTTTTTTATTGATTTTATGAAATAGTTGAGCCTGAGAAAGGATAATAACTAAAAAGTGTTTCGATTCTAAGCAAAGCTGACTTGCTGCGATACTTGCAAATGAAATAAAACACCAAGACAATATCAACTATTTTTCAAACCTATTTCTCTACTGTAGATCAAAAACAATCAATTGTATCGCTAAATCACAATGTTCAAATGATCTTCGACCATCACTTGTCACAAACGTTGGCAAATAGACTGATGTAAACTCTTTTCCATTCAGTTTCTTTGTGTACATATGGTATGTAGCTGGATTCGCCGGTTCAACAATTGCATGTTTAAATCCACGTTGGCCACAAAGAGCAAGCAGAATCTGGTGAAGTTTTGTGCCAAGGCCTGTCACACATAAGATACAGTTGCAGAGTGGCAGACTCGTCTCGAAACTTTTTGTAAAAAAAATCATGATTTCTTCGAAGGCTCACCTTTTCCACTACAATCTTGACGAACACCAGCCATCATTATCTGTACCAAATCATTTTCTTTCAGTTCGCCATATTGTTCCATAAAACGTCGTTCCACTTCGTTAAATACTTCCATATCTTGGGATGGTTCTAACTCTTCAAACTTCTGTTCTTTTAGTTTCTGAGCATCGCCAGCTTGAACAAGACCGTGAATTTCCTGCGTCTGTTTGTGTATTGCTACGATAGAGAGCTGTTCGTCCAGAACGGCTTTTGAGAATGCAAGTGCTTGCGAGTATAATTGTTCGTAGGTAGTTTTCAAGTAGACTTCGAGTGGGTTGTATTTGGTGAAGACGTCAGCAAGAAGCCTAGTCGATTCTTCGAGGTGTTTTTCCTGCAAGATTTCATACGTGTAGGTTTCATCTTCCTTAAGGACGTGGGGCATGGCTGTAATAGTTGTTAGAAAAGTGCAAAGTAAGTCGATAAACAGAAAAATAATTTGTTATTACACAAGACTTGTTGTTATTACTTGTGAGTCAAGAAATAGAGAACGGAAAAAAAATAAAATGCTTCCTTTTCTGAAGGAAAGAGTCTTTCGAACAAAAAATGTTTTTTCTGGCTATCCGATCAATCAGAACGCAGCATTTTGCCACTTATGGACTATAGCACTTCTATTGAAACAAAACTTATGCCTAGAGTTTTTTAAGGACGTGCGTTCAAATTTGATGTCAGAATTGGTACATCTTCACTTTAATCACAGAAAAGAAAAATTGTAGGTTGAAAAGTGACCAATCATGTTAATACAACTTAAATAATAAGAGAAGAAAGTGATTAATAATTGGCTATCACAGATGACAGTAGAGGGTGTGTGGGTATACTCTTTCTCGACATCAACAATCGCACACAAACTCACACTCCACACACGTACCCACACGCACACATCCATCCACACCCGACACCCTCTTAATTCGGCGGGATCCTTTGCGAAAAATGATTAATAGAAGTACTTGATTCAGACAACATTTCTTTTTATTCCACCAGTTTCAGCGTCAATATAGCGGAATAATAACATTTAAAGCATGAATGGGTGACGTCAACTAGGGAGTCATTCGTTTGTCCCTAATACTTTTTACTTAAACCGAGCTTAGATGATTCAATCTGGAAAGAAAACTCATCGGACATGATGGCAGGTATTGAGTTTATTTCGAGTTTCTTTTCTTTTCTTCCCCATATGTATAGTAACAACAATTGCGACGCAGAAAACGACTTTATTCGAGAGTGTGCGATCATAGACATTAGTTACTTACTGCTTTTAGAGTAATGCATGTAGCCACTATAAAAAAAGATGAGAAAACGATATAAACGCTATACAAATCAACATTTTGCCATTTTTTTTCACTCAAAATCGAAAGGTTAGCCTTACTTGGTGGCACATATGAAGCAACGCGAAAGTGTCGCTCACACTAGAAATAGATGCAAGAAAAAACTACTGTTTATTAAATCATCATACCAGCTAAGCAGCTAGTTTACTTTTAGCAAACATTCGTCAACTAGCACACAGCAGCATGCATCTTACCGTTCTTTCAACAGTACTCTGTCTCGTTTTGACCGTTTCGGGATCCGGTTCAATGAATTGAATAACATTTGTTTGGTGTGCTGGTTTAGATCTTGTGACGTATCCTAGTGATAAGTTGAAGGTCCGCTATATTGAAATGACGAATGCCAATTGTGGAAATTGTGACAAATACTTTCACTGTCAAGGAAACTATGATGCTGTTTACGTTTGTGGAGATACGGATGAAAATCGACGAATAGCAAAAAAAAGTGACTCATTGTGTTATCTTGAAGTCAATTGTGGCTTTATCTATGTTATTTTTTGTTTCAGTTAGTGATTGCCGTGAAGACGCTCAAGATACTGGCTCGGCTGATAGTCAAGCAGATCAACAAGTAAATGAATTCGGACGAAACGGAGGCGAATGTAAAGCAGAATACAGTCCACGCCAATTGAAGGTATACCCTTCGAGTTTTTGTATTTTCATTGCCATAACTTGTTTGTTTTTAAGCTTATTATATATAGGGAGAAATCCCGAAAGACGCTGGATCTGATGGTATATTTATGCTGGGGTGTGGGTGTGGGTGTAGATGTGGGGTGTGGGTGTGGGTGTAGATGTGGGGTGTGGGTGTGGAGTGTGGTTCTTCTCTTGGCCCACACCCACACCCAACATGGTCACAAGATTCAGCACAAATACAACCTGAGCTGAATAAAAAAGGATGGTTTTTGAGGGAAGTCTTAGCGTGTCAGGTTCACTACTCAAATGAAATAAAGCTTCGCTGATCGGAAAGGCAGTTTTCAGAAGATCCTGATAAAAAATTCTTAAGATTATCTCTCAAAGTTTTGAATTTGACATAGATTGACATTGCTCAAGGTTCATTTCCACGTGACGAAAATCAGAGCTCACTAGTTGTTGGCGTTCTGGAGCTACTCAAATTTTCCTGACACACATACTATTTTAGAAACGATATCACAAATCGGTACGAGTGTCGTAATTTATTTTCTTAGTAACAAGAGAAACACGATAGTTAGACTGATTGTATAGTATATACGTCATGTATGATAGTATTAAAATTTCGTTCAAATCCTTGAAAAATTCGTCAATTAGTTCGAAATTGAATGACATTTAAATGAAACGAACTCTTTTCTTTCTAATCCATTTTTTTATTGATAAATATCAACGACTTGTTTGAGACCTAAACTGGAATAGTACTTAATATTTTTTTTTCTTGCTGTAAAAAAGACTGAGAAAACCTTTAAAGTTAAGTGTGATACGATGGAGTAACATGCAAAGATCGAAAAAATTTGTTAAAAGCTGAAATAAACAGATATAAAACACCAATAGTAGGAAAGTAAAATCAAGTTAGGAAAAAAGAATGAAGAAATAAAGACTCAGCAAAGCTACTGATATTAGATAGTTCTTTTCCTCTTCCCTGTTGTCGACAATATTGATACTGTTAATTTTGTAACAATATGCAAGACTTGATCATCCCTTAAATACCGTTTAAATCACTATTGAACATTAAAGACTGTCACAGGACACTCTTTTTCACCCTGCCTTTCCTGAAAATGACTTAAACAAAACTTTTTGTTCCACTCTGCTCTCACAGCATATAAACTGAGGTCCACTAAGGAATAGGCTGATAACCTAACGAAAAATTTTTGGCTTTTCCTAATTTTAAGGATTTTTGTTCCAGACTTTTTTTGATCGATTAAAATGCATTACCAAATTTTAATTACATAGAATTGACAAGTCTTCGTATAATAAATTAGAAAGAATTCAAAAAATCTCGTCAATAACAAAAATGAATCTTCACGACTAAAAATTAGATTATAATTGAAAAAAAATTGTTTATTTTCATTTATTCTTGATGAAGAAACAACTCTTTTTAGTTCAATATCATGCCTTTTTTAGCATGGGTGCATAATACTACTAGCGTATTCAGACAAAAACAAGATATTTCGTCAATGAAAATAGAGATTCTTGGTGATTGAATATCATCATTTAATTGAGTCATAGTCTTTCATCAACATTTAGCAGTAAGTCGAAATTCGTTTTCTTATTATTATTATTTGATAGACGTGCTTATGATTTGATAAGAGTTGTTGAAATTCCTCAAATTCGAAAGAGGTCATATTGAACGATGATGAATTAGTATGAGTATCACGCTCATAAGTTCTATTGAAATCGATCGAAAACCTGGAATCATCACTAGCTGGTGGAATTACATAGATGACGCATGTAGTAAATGCTTTCAAATGACTTTTTATGAGAAAAACGTTATATATTTGTTCTTCTTGTCTTCTGCTCTTTCGCTAATGTGATATTAACTATTGAAGTAGTCACCTTGTAATAGAACCAATAAGCAAATAATTTATCGAATATATATAATTGAGTTTTTCATTTTCAAAAATTTGTATATCATCAACATGATATTGCAAATAACAAAAGTAATAAAACTAATCTTCTCAATTTTTATCTTCTCCGATAATGTTCATACCATTATCAATAGCCGAGTAATTCTTTCAAGATTTCATCATTTGCTTCAAACAATGAAACTCAATCTGCATTATTAGGAACAACTGCTGCTTCTTCAAACTCCGATATTCGATCAATTCTTTAGAATCCTATTCAACCAAATCAATTTCTTCTTGCTAATGGCCGTACCATTGTAAATACAACAAAATTCTCATTTATTCTTCAAATTCTTACACAAAAATAATAGATAATAGTACTCAAACTTGTCGATTATTATTATCAACCATAAATACAAGCATTTTTTTAACATCGACAAGAAAACTTTTTCCTTCGTCCTTATTCACACATCAAGAAAAGATTGAAACGATGAATAACATATTCTTTAGAAATAATCTTATAAAATAAAATGAGAATGTCTAAGCAAAACTAGACAAATAGAAAATATCGAACACACTATTTCATATCAATCAACGACTTTTTCCGACTATGTAATAAGATCAAATACATTTCTATCTTCACTAAAATAAAATGCGTCATATCTTACTATCTTCATATATCGCATTATAGATATATTGTGCTAGTCTATTTGCTTAGTGTTATAATTAATTTTTTTGGAATAAATACTTACTATTGAATCTGTTATTAAGATACAATCTAAACAAAAATTAGTATCTATCTTTGGATCTGTTATTGAAATAATCTAAAATGTCTTTTTTTCAAATGTATACTTACTTATGAATTTGTTGCCGCATTGAAAACTCAAATTGACGAATATGGAGCTGGCATACGATTGTGTACATAGCAAAGTATTAGTAATGTATATTACTATGAAGATATCGAAAACAATATGAAGACTATGTATGGCTTCCGTGTACATATATAGTAAACGAACTTGGTTTTTTAATCTCCGTCGATCATCGTATTTTTCTGTAATATAAGAATGCTAACAACCATGTTTATTTAACCTAGGAAAATACAACTAACTAACGACCAGATACGATCGTATGCAGTACTTGCACACAATAACAGTTTACTATTATTATCAAAGTTAATTGTATTGCGGAATATATGACCTTGTTCATGTTCATTGTATATGGTGCCTGATAAT